GCTGTCTTGTGAGGACCAGAAAAACGCGAAGTGGGGATTGGGGTCGACTTTCTACAGGTAAAGTGGTCTCGTTTTTGTTGTTTGTTTGTTTTAGAGGTGTTTTTTTTTGTGGGTTATGTGGTTGTGTTGTATTCTATGGATGTTTGAATACATATGTATGGGTAAGTGGATATATATATATATATTATATATATAAATAAATAAATAAATAAATATATATATATATATATATATATATATATATATATATATATATATATATATATATATATATATATATATATATATATATACATATACATAAACACGTGCAAAGAATAAAACACTCACACACAAATATGTTTCACACACACACACTTAAACACACACACACACACACCACACATACACAAACACACACGTTCCTCACTCTACAATACTGCATATTTTTCTAAGAGTAATGTCACAGAACTTCTATTATTAAAGGTTATGAGCTCATTACCTGTTGCACTAAAGTTGTGATCATATTTTAGGATCTAATTATCATAAATTCGTATAAAACCGTCATTAATATAAATTATCTTGCCGGAGATGGGTGTGGAAGATATATCACGAGTTAGCCCAAACTCTATTACCAAGTCTATTATACTCGAGAAGGGAAAGCAGGTTTAACTAGCAACTAGCAGTTTTGTGACGTCATTGTCATCCATGTGTTTATGGAAAAAAATGAAATGAAAAAAGAAAGAAGGGAAAAAAAGGAAAGAAGAAAAAAAAAGAAAGAAAAAAGAAAAAAGAGATTGAAAAAAATATGAAGTATATACTCCCACGGCTTTCTTGATATTTTTCGTGCAAGAAGGGTATGCTCTAGCCAACTCACATTAATTATAACGATATACAGAAATAAATTTGTGTAGAATCAATCGCATGGCATCACTATGAAATTACAGGTAAACCCAGATGTCATTATCTGTAATACCTGTACACCCTCAGCCCATTCACATCCAGTCAATCTTTCTTTCATCATCTTCGCCATTAACTAACAAGACAGGGGGGTACAAATCTCACGACGAGGGGGTCAATATATCACGACGAAAGTACACACCTAACACCACCGTCACAAATCACCCTTTTCGCCCGTCACGCGTCACTCTCAATGTCACCCTTGCAGACACCTGAGGAACGTGAGCCTGAACCAGCACAACCCCAGCGTGACGTTCAACATCGACGGGACGAGAAGTGACGTAGAGCTGAAAATTGTAAACTTGAGGGAAGGCACATCCAATAACAAGGTGTGGGAAGAGGTACGTGTCTGAAAGTCAGCCGCCGAGTCTGGCTATTAATGCGTTTATTCGTGTCGTTTCTTGGAATTTTATTTAGTCATTTATTTTCATGATTGTTTTCTTTTCTTTTTCTTTTTTGGTGTTGTTTGGTTCTTTCTTTAGTTGTCTATGTCGTTCTTTAAACAAAAAAAAGTTTACTTCAGCGTCGTCATTTATTCATAAAATAATTATAATAGTAATAATAGTAATAGTGATAATAGTATTAATAACGATGATAATATTCATACTACTACTACTACTATCTTTTATTATCATCATCATCATTAGTAGGATTAGTACCAGTAATATTAATATCATTATCATTATCACTTTCATCATTTCGTCTTTTTAAGTGTTACACCCCCCCCTTTTTTTTTAGCTTAATTAATTAATCTAGGTCATTTCACCTCTTTTTGTCTTCTTCTATTATTGCCCGAGTAAAAAAAAAAGAAAAAAAAAGAAAAAAAAAAATCCCCTTTCTGTTTATTTCCTCATATCACTCCCCCCCCCCTTTCCTTATTACGCCCATTACTCCGCCATGACACCCATTTTTACATCTAACACCTGCAGCTACCCCCCCCCCCCCATAACCTTTAAGTGTGAACCTTTACAATAACCGTGTCTAGCCTCCTTTTAGCGCTTCTAAAACCTCTATCACTCATCTATCAAAGCATTCCACCTCTTTTTAACACTTCTCATCACCTATCTATCAATATATATTTCATTGCCCTTTTCTAACACCCATCTAACACCCTTTTTTAACACTCATTACCCCTCTTCTAACACTCATTCAACACCTCTCTCCTAACGCCCACTTCAAACACCCTTCAGCACCCCTTTCTAACACCCATCAAACGCCCTTCTAACATCCCTCATCTCCCCTTTCTAATACCCATCAAACACATGTTTAACACCCTTCTAACAGCCCTCTTTACCCCCTTTCTAACACCCCTCTAACAGCCCTCTTCGCACATTTCTAACACCCTTTTAACAGCCCTTTCTAACACCCTTCATCACCCCTTTTTAACACCCATAAAACACCATTTTAACAGCCCTGTTCACCCCCTTTCTAACACCCATCAAACAGCCTTCATCACCCCTTTTTAACACCCATCAAACACCCTTCTAATAGCCCTCTTCACCCCCTTTCTAACACCCATCAAACAGCCTTCATCACCTCTCTCTAACACCCATCAAACACCCTTCTAACAGCCCTTTCTAACACCCATCAAGCAACCTTCTAACAACACCCATCAAACACCCATCAAACACCCTTCTAACAACCCTTTCTAACACCCATCAAACACCCCCTTTCTAACACCCTTCCCTCTCTCCCCCCCCCACAGATAGGAGTGTGGAGATCGTGGGAGGGAGAAGGTCTCTCCATCAACGACATCGTGTGGCCGGGCAAAGGGCACGTACCGCCCCAGGGAGTGCCGGAGAAGTTCCATCTGAAGGTGAGGGGAATGAGGGGCTGAGGGGGGTGAGGGGGTGAGGGGAAGGGGGGATGAGAGGGTGATGGGGATGGGGAATGGGGGATGATGGGGTGAGGGGAAGGGGGGATGGGGGAGGGGGGTGAGGGGAAGGGGGTGAGGGGGAGGGGGGGTGAGGGGAAGGGAGGTGAGGGGTGAGGGGAATGGGGGATGAGGGGGAATGGGGAATGGGGGGTGAGGGAAATGGGAAATGGGGAATGAGGGGTGATGAGGATGGGAAATAAGTGTGAAGGGAATGAGAGGGTGAGGGGAATGGGAAATGAAGAGGTGAGGGGAATGGGGAATGAGGGAAATGGGAAATGAGGGGTGAGGGGGATGGGGAATGAGGGGTGTGGGGAATGGGAAATAAGGTGTGAGGGAATTGGGAATGAGGGCGAGGGGAATGGGAATGGCCCAGGTATTAGATTGGCCATATGCCCGAAAAGGTCGGTCTGGCTGGTTCCCCGCTCGCTCCAGGGGGAAAAATTGAGACAGTCAGAAAGTGTGCCCCCCCTCTTCCTCTGTCTCTGTCTGTCTGTCTGTCTCTCTATCTTCCTCTCTCTCTCTCTCTCTCTCTCTCTCTCCCTCTCTCTCCCTCCCTCCCTCTCTCTCTCTCCCTCCCTCCATCCATCCATCCCTCCCTCTCTCTCTTTTTACCAGCCTACCTAGCTCTCTTTCACTCTCACTATCCCTTCCTTACCCCCTCAATCTATATCTCTCTCATTCCCTCATCTCTTTTCCTTAGCTTTCTCCCCTTCTCTCTTTCTGTTTCCATGACTGTCTGTCTGTCTGCCTTCCTGCCTGCCTGCCCGCCTCCCTTCCTTCCTCTCTCTCTCTCTCTCTCTCTCTCTCTCTCTCTCTCTCTCTCTCTCTCTCTCTCTCTCTCTCTCTCTCTCTCTCTCTCTCTCTCTCTCTCTTTCACCCTCTTTTCTCTTTCGTGACCTGCTGAAGCGCTACCTTTGAAGCAACGATTGGAAGAGGGAAGGAGAGGTGGGAAAGAGGGGAGGAGGCAGAGGAGAAAAGGGAGGAGGGGATAATGGGATAGGGGAGGGAGGAGGGACAAGGAGGGGAGAGTGGGATAGGGGAGGGAGGAGGGACAAGGAGGGGGGAGTGGGATAGGGGAGGGAGGAGGTGGGGTGATATCTGAATCTTCACTAATCTTAACTTTTGGGCGGTGGTCTGCGTGCTATGAAAGCGAGGAGGTGAGTGCCCTCGGCCTCTCCTATAACTCCTTCGCTCTCTTTTCCCTTTTAACTCATTCTCTTCTGAGTGTTCTTGCCAGGATTGTGGGTTTTAAGTGTTGATGCTTCGTATAATTTCAGGAGAGAGAGAGAGAGAGAGAGAGAGAGAGAGAGAGAGAGAGAGAGAGAGAGAGAGAGAGAGAGAGAGAGAGAGAGAGAGAGAGAGAGAGAGAGAGAGAGAGAGAGAGAGAGAGAGAGAGAGAGAGAGAGAGAAGGAGAGAGAGAGAGAAGGAGAGAGAGAGAGAAGGAGGGAGAGAGAGAAGGAGGGAGAGAGAGAGGAGGGAGAGAGAGAAGGAGGGAGAGAGAGAGGAGGGAGAGAGAGAGAGAGAGGAGAGAGAGAGAGAGAGGAGAGAGAGAGAGAGAGAGAGGAGGGAGAGAGAGAGGAGGGAGAGAGAGAAGGAGAGAGAGAGAGAAGGAGAGAGAGAGAGAGAGAGAGAGAGAGAGAGAGAGAGAGAGAGAGAGAGAGAGAGAGAGAGAGAGAGAGAGAGAGATTGAGAAGGAGAGAGAGAGAGAGGGAGAGAGAAAGAAAGAAAGAAAGAATGAAAGAGAACTGGCAGCTCACCCCAGGCTCCGGAATACAACACAAAGTTGCTTTCAATAAAGAACAGTAATGCGTTGGAAGCAACAAATCTCAATGAAAAACAATAAAGATATATATCAGTCGTTTTAATAGAGAGAAAGATAGATAGATAGATAGATAGATAGATAGATAGAAAGAGAGAGAGAGAGAGAGAGAGAGAGAGAGAGAGAGAGAGAGGAGAGGGAGAAGAGGAGAGAGAGAGGAGAGAGAGAGAGGGAGAGACAGAGAGAGAGAGAGAGAGAGAGAGAGAGAGAGAGATAGATATAGATAGATAGATAGATAGATAGATAGATAGAGAGAGAGAGATAAATATAGATATAGACAGATAGATAGATATACAGATAGACAGAGAGACAGATAGATAGGGAGAGAGATAGAGAGAGAGAGAGAGAGAGAGAGAGAGAGAGAGAGAGAGAGAGAGAGAGAGAGAGAGAGAGAGAGAGAGAGAGAGAGAGAGAGAGACAGACAGACAGACAGAGAGAGACAGAGAGAGAGACAGAGACAGAGATAGAGATAGAGATAGATAGATAGATAGATAGATAGAGAATCGGAGTACTTCGTAGTGAGTTGCCAGATTTTCCTTTCCTGAGATTGGACGTACTATAGATGAGTAGTCTTAACGGTACATCAGTTTCCTTCGCCACCTGCTATCACTGTGCTTTTTCTACGTCATTCTAATCCCGTGCTGTATCTGACGAGGCTAAGGGATGAATGGTGGCTGAAGAAACTTTGCTTTTCAGCTTTCATGAATGTCAGTGTATCGAGAGATGTGGGTCTTATTCTTAATAAGTCTTGCCTGGAGAGACTGTTGCTTCTAGAATTCTTAGTTCAGTCTTTCGTTCAGTCTTCGCTTGGGTAATGTTTTTCAGTCTCATAATCCTTGTTCTTGTCCTATTGTTATTGTGAATTCAGTGCTGGATTTATCTGGTTAGATATAGGCTTTTTTTAAATTATTTTATATATATATATTATTTTTTACTAACGTCAGTGGCTTTCTTGCCAATTCAAAGGATCTTAAAGTTGCCTCAGATAAATAAAACATCATAGTCAGTTCTGAAACGCATGTCTCTGGTAGAAGGAATGTTAACGAAATTCTGTTTGCCGACTATTCCGCATGCCTCGTTTTCCTGGTATTGTCGGTTCTGCTAATTTTAAGCCTTAACATTGGCAGAATTGGTATTGTTGCTGAGTGTGTTTTTTTGTTCTTATGCAAAGAATCATTTCTTCATTCCCTTCAATATTTCTAAAGCCTCTATCATAACTAGTTGAATTGCAGTCTCATGAGCTGAGGATTTATTACTTGGATTTAAATTTCGGTGGCACTGATCCAGTCGGGTTTCTTCCTAGTTTTTTTTTTTTTTTTTTTTTATTATATTCAAGTCCCGTTTTGTTGCGGTTGATTTTCAGCATTTGATTTAGTTAATCATGAGGCCCTCTTATATAAACTCCAATCCTGTTATTGCTGGCAACCTTTTCAGTATCTTCAATGTTGTGTAGTGTCACGTGTGAGGCGTGGTGACAAATAGACCAATTAACATTATTAGCAAATCATTTAATTTTTCCTCTTCATCTTGACTTCTTGAATTTTCAACACATGGGCATCGCCGTTGATTTTCGCTCGACTTTTGAGAAGCATTTGCGGTGTATTTCATTCACTAACGTCATGAATGTTTTTGATATTTCTGTTTTAAAATGTCATATTTTTTCGTCTGTCACATTTAGATGTCCACAGCTCATTGGCACCTTTACTTGACAGAGCGTTTTTTTTTTTCGCTACATGACTTAAACCTCAATTTAAACCATCGGCATCACTTTGGCTCCCTCTCATTTTTTTTTTTTTGTAAAGTTCTAGACTTCTCTCTTCACGCCCGATTAACTGCAAATGCTCTGGAAGTAACTGTGTGTGCTACAAGACCTCTGTACTAACGCTCCTAGCACCTTTCTTATTTGCTTCTTAGATGAAATTTTGGAACAATCCGCTCCGTCGAAAATCACAGGTAGACAGTATTGATAGATTTAAGATCCGATCAAACGTTTATTATATATCTACTCGTTAGACTGACCCGGAATTTCTCACGGATACAAGTTATCCTTTTTTTTTTTGAGAAATCTTTTCTCCTTTTGGCTTTTATTAGATTTAGTAGATTTGGATAAGGAATCACTTACACGGTTTATAACTTTATCTTGTATATATACGTCTTTATTATTATTTCTTCAGACCGTATAACCAGAGGAGCAGCCTTATATAAACAGACAAATTTATATGTTAATTAATTAATTTATTTATTTATTCATTTATTTTTTACACTTACGAATTATTATTACATTTTTCCAGATCGTTTACCTAGAATAGCCGCCTTCTATAAACAGTATCATGTCTATACTTTGTTTTTTTTTTATCAATTAATTCATCTGTTTATCTTTTTTTTTTCTTACACACATGAATTATTATTACTTTTTCTAGATCGTATATCTATAGGATCCACCTTATATAAGCATATATATATATATATATATATATATATATATATATATATATATATATATATATATATATATATATATATATATATATACATACATAATTCGTTGTTTTATTAATTAATTATTCATTCATTAATTTATTTCTTAGACCTATGAAAAATAATTATTTCTTTCCAGATCGTGTACCTAGAGGAGCCTCCCTATATAAACCTGGCGCCCGCGGACCCCGTGACAAATCTCTGCTCGGCGAACAGGGGCGTCCTTTGCAAGATTCCGCCCAAGAAAGGACTGTAAGTTTGGGGAGAGATTCGTTGAGGTGTGGGTGGATAGGTAGGTGGGTGGGTGGACAGGTAGGTGAGTGGGTAGGTGGGTGGGTGGGTGAGTGGGTTGGTGGGTGGGTAGGTGAGTGGGTGGGTTGGTGGACA